ATAGGGCGGGTGGGCGGGCTTACGTTTTGCCTTTTTGTTTTAATATGTATAGACTTCTTTTCACAACATGAAACTTAAAACATGTTTAAAGTGGAAAATTTGTATAAGGAAACATCGATTTTGCAATTATGTACCATTTTAACCATGTTTTAAGTTTGTGAAAAGATGGCTATGTATATTAAGAAAAAAAAAAAACAAAATATAAGCCCCGCCCACCCACCCTGTCGCAATTCTGATGATTTTTTTATTCATCGTAAGCCAAGGGGGCACAGCTTAATTGCAAAATCCTATTTCTCTACAAGAAATAAAAAACATATTTTTGAGTATCGTGTTGATCAAAGAATACTACGTATATTGTATATTAAGAATAAAACAAGCCAAAAATTATGTCATTTCGAGCTTTCAACGGCAACCTCAGCGGACGCATACCTATGCCAACATCAACGGCGACCAACAACGTCAACGGCAAGTATATAAATCGACCTTAATACACAATGTTGAATAGTTCTGGAGTTATGTCCCGTTAAATTTGAAAAACAAATTTTTTTGAATTCGGAAATGACACTGCTATATATTTGTCTTTCCATACCAAATGGATCGAGTGTGCGGTCTGAAAATTCGCTGATCGGATGACAAAGCTTCAAGGAATCGAATGCTGGAAACCGCTGTACGAATACTTGAACCGTTCTGGAGTTATGTCCCGTTAAATGCGAAAAAAATATTTTTTTTTTATTTGGAAATGACGCCATCCTAGATATTCGTCCCTCCATACTAAACCGATCGAGTATTCGTTATGAAAATCATCTCAAAGGACTAGAAATTTTCAAGGAATCTAACGCTTAAAATCTTAACACCCAATCTTGAACCGTTCTGGAGTTATGTCCCGCTAAATTTGAAAAAAAAGTGTTTTTTAATTCGGAAATGACACCGGCCTATTGATTTGTTTCTCCATACCAAATGGATCAAGTGTGCGGTTTGAAAATTCGCTGATAGGATGACGAAGCTTCAAGGAATCGAATACTGTAAACCGCTGTGCGAATTCTTGAACCGTTCTGGAGTTATCTCCCGTTAAATGCGAAAAAAAAAAATTCGGAACTGATACCATCCCAGATATTCGTCTCTCCATACTAAATAAAATGCCTATTCGGTCTAAAAAATTTGCTCAAAACACTGCAAAATATCGGGGAATCGTTTGTTCCAAACCGCAATCCCAATTCTCAACCCGTTCTAGAGTTAAGGTCCGTTAAATTTGAAAAAGAAACAATTTTTTTAAATCGGAAATTACATCATCCTAGATATTCGTCTCTGGACCCTAAATGGGTCGAGAATCCAGTCTAAAAATTCACTAATAAAACCAGAAAATTTTAGGCAAGCGAGTGCTCAAAATCGTAATTCAAATTCTTGAACCGTTCTGGAGTTTTGTTGCGTTAAATTTGAAAAAAAAGTGTTTTTTAATTCGAAAATGACATCGTCGTGTATATTTGTCTCTCCATATTAAATGGATCGTGTATTTATTATGAAAGTCAGCTCAAAGCACTAGAAATTTCCAAGGAATCTAATGCTAGCAATCTTAATGCCAAATCTTGAACCATTCTGGAGTTATGTCCCGTTAAATTTGAAAAAAAAAATCGGAAATTACATCATCCTAGATATTCGGCTCTCCATGATAGACGAGTCGCGTATTTGGTTTAAAAATTAACTCAAAACCCTATAAAATATCAGGGAATCGTGTGTTCTAAACCGGAATCCCAGTTCTCAACCCGTTATGGAGTTATCGCCCGTTAAATTTGAAAAAAAAAAAAAAGTTTTTAAGCTATTATTTTGAAAATTTTGAAATTACATCATCCCACACATTCGTCTCTAGACCCTAAATGGATTGAGAATCCAGTCTAAAAATTGTCTCATAAAACCAGAAAATTTTAAGCAATCGTGTGCTCAAAATCGTAATACAAATTCTTGAACCGTTCCGGAATTATGTTGGGTTAAATTTGAAAAATAAAGTGTGAGTTTTAATTCGGAAATGACATCGTCTTGGATATTTGTCTCTCCATATACTAAATGGAAAGAATGTGCGCTCTTAAATTCGCCAATAGGGCGAGAAATTTTCACGGAATCGAATGCTGTAAACGGCAGTGTTAATTCTTGAACCATTCTGGAGTTATGTCCCGTTAAATGCGAAAAAAAATTTTAATCCGGAGATGACACCATCCTAGATATTCGTCCCTCCATACTAAACTAGAAATTTTTAAGACATCTAACACTCAAAATTTTAATCCCAAATATTGAACCGTTTTGAAGTTACGTCCCGTTAAATTTTGAAAAAGTTTTTAATTCGGAAATGACACCGTCTTGTATATTTGTCTCTCGCTACTAATTGAATCGAGTGTCTGCTCTGAAAATTCGATAATACGACTAGAAAGGTTCAAAGAATCGAATGGTGTAAACGGCAATGTAAATTTTTTAACCGTTCTGGAGTTATGTCCCGTTAAATGCGAAAAAAAATTTGGAAATGACACCATCTTAGATATTCGTCTCTCCATATTAGACAAGTCGCGTATTTGATCTAAAAATAAACTTAAAACATTATAAAATACCAGGCATTCGTGTGTTTTAAACTACAATCCCAATTCTCAATCCCTTATGGAATTATCGCCCGTTAAATTTGAAAAAAAAACTTTTTTTTTGGAAATCATACTGGCTCATATATGTAAAAAATAATGGAGTGCTCCAAACCGAAATGCGAATTCTTGAAGCGTTCTGGAGTTACCTCCCGTTAAATTTGAAAAAAAGTTTTTTAAATCGGGGTATGCTACTGTGCTATACTTTTCATTTCTTTATACTAAACGAATCGAGTATCTGCTTTGAAAATTAGTTTACAAAAGTGGATAATTTGAAACAATCGGCTGCTCTAAATCACAATTCTAATTCTTGAACCGTTCTGGAGTTATTTCCTGTCAATTTTGAAAAAACTTTTTTAATTCGGAAATACCTATGTATTTGTCTTTCTAGGAATCGAATGCTCTAAACCGTACTGTGAATTCTTGAACCATTTTGGGGTTGTAACCCGAATGAAGAAAATAATAGCTTGAAAAGAATCGAAACCTTTTTAAGAAATAACTTGGTCAAGATGGCTCTATGTTGTAGACTATATTTTTTTAACGTCCGAAGAAATTAGAGTGATGAAATATGATAAACAGACAAAAACAGACTAACACTTAAAAATACTTTATGAGCTGCAGATAGTATAGATAACCTTACGAGTTAATATACATTTTATGATTCATTTTAGTCCCCCTCACAGATTTCCTTAAGTAAAAATCAAAGATTAGTCGGAAAGCAAACTTCGAGGTAGCCCGTTATCGTTACATAAATTTTTACTGTCATATTCTCCATCTACACAGTGTTTAACACAATATTACGCATCGTTCGTGGTTGATGAAAATGCTTATAGGCATTGCGAGAACTTATTGATTTATTTCTTTTTTTTTAAAACAACATGTGAGATTGGCGCTTTTTTAAATTCCCACTCTTACTTAGTCATATCCAGACAATACCATTGTCGTTACTGTATTATAGTAGAATTTAAACGAAGTCTATATAGTTTCACATTGCGTTTCCGTCTGTCTGTCTGCGTCTGTCTGTTCGACAGTGGACCCAAGTAAAAATAAATTTTGTATGGATCTAAAATCCCACTTCAATTTGAGCCGATTTATTTTCAGTTTATTGCACCGTGGAAAAATCGATTTCTTTCCGCTTTTTAGTTTCTTTGGCAGCCACACACTCAGACCAATTCGCCACAAAATCGCCCATCTCACCTTCTCCCAGCCAACTGCCCGTGTCTCGACACACCGTGTGCTACGCCCTGATGTTTTTAATGGTCCCATTTGAAATATCGCCCTATAAAAATGTCCCGCTTTTGATATACATTTCTGTTTCTCCATCTCGAACTATTTATTCTGGATAATTTCGTCTAACGACCCGTATTAATCTCGACGCGTACACGTTGTACCTACTTAATTCTCGAACCGAATCTAAATCAATCTCGATAATGGGCGTAAATCCGTCAAATCGAGTCGTACCAAGAGTTACGCAAAAAACTATTAGCGCTAGATCATCCTGTCGGGGTTTGGGCAGGGTCGGCTGGGCCCGACGGCGCAGAATAGCTGTCGTATTAATAAAAGAAATAACAACTTACCAATTGAATTAAACTGTTCCAATTAAAATGTATTCCAAAAACTTGTTCGTATTAACTATAAACTTAATGGTCTGATTTTTAAAATTTGTAACTTTTTAACTTAAATGATTATTATTTTTGTAAGCTACCACTGTTTGTCTAGATTGTAACTGTCATAATCTGGTGTTTCATATGTATAATGAACAGAAGAAACAAAAATCATGCCATCTAATCTCTATCCTTAAAAAAATTAGTCCTTGCATTGGATTCTTTTTCTTTTATTCCACTGCTTTTCTTTCGCTTTGGTTCTTCCTCTTCTTCTTTTCATACATGTTTGGTTGATTCTTTCATGAGATACACGTTTCAAAAGCTAAAGTTTCTGGTTTGGGCGATGAAAGTCCGGAGTCCGGCCCTGCCCGTCCCGAATTCTAGTCGAGATTTGTGGCGATACCGTTTTAGCTCTAAAATTTTGAAATGTTAAGCATCTTAACTGCGACTTTACACATTCCGTACAGATTATTTCCGTCGATTTCGTGAGTTGTAAAATGCGTGCCATTAGTTATGGCTTATGCTAAAGACAGGTCTAATGATGCGATAGCAATGGTCATTAATATACATTAGTGTCGAAGGGTACTTAGGTGTCACTTGAACGCCCATGCGTCTAGTTCGCTATTAATAGATTAAGATTCCGAGAGTACTTGCGGCGATAATCTCGACTACTTAATCTTGGCTGGTTTAATTAAGAGTTTTCGCATTTTTGGCAGTGGCGTTCGTGTCGGGGAACGATTACGATAGAGCGTGGGAGGGCTCGAAATGAAACTCGACGTTAAGATAGTCTCTGTTAATATTTTAATCAAGACAATTATAATTATAATATCCTTCTATACACACTGATCTATTTACAAACAGATAAAATAATGTACAATTTGGGCGAGCAGCCAACAAAATAAATGTTAGTTTAATAATAAATCCATGATATGGTACTTTTAATATACACAACAATTTTCTAATTATTTAAAAGAACGTAACAATAAAATAGGTGATCCTGAAATACAACTAGCCTGACTTGTGATGATACACAACAAGTTACAAACGTAGGTGCGAGCAATTTCTTCTAGTTTCAAGAAACTACTAAGTCCCATTGCCGAAAAACTTCAACGCCACTTTTGGTAGACATTTGTTCGTTATCACAGATATAAATAAATGCTTTTACACAAATATACAACAGATTGCGATCGCTTCACTGGATCTTCCACACCCACTCAGATTTGTTGCACTTTGCCCATTCCTTGGTTCGGGGATGCTGGACGCAAGCTGCCCACGCCGGATCTGCAAACAAAAAAACAACCCATTAAAATACGAAATCTACAAAATTAAATAATTAAGAGAAAAAGCGTTTCCCGACTCCACTACCACAGGTTTGTTTTTTCTAGTCCTGAAGATGTACGAAAATGAACGAAACGTTAAACATTTTTTCAAAATTTCGGTGTACGCGCAACAGACAAAAATAAATTGACACATAATGTATGATTTAAAAAAAAAGTGGTCTAGTAAGCAATGAAATTTATTTTTAAAGTAACGGTGTAGTCATTTGATCGTAAATGTCAAACTCATTAGCACGAACAAGGAACGCGTTGATGTTGCCAACATATTTTTTTGAACATTAAATTTCAAACGTTACACAACTTTTTTCCTTTGACTTTAGCAAAAGATGTTTTAAAAGGTCAAAACTAGGTAAAAATATTGAAACAATCTAGAAACGTCAAGTAAATAGAATGAAATTAAAAATTTATATATATATATATAAAAAATGAAGTAATTATAGGAAAACTGAATTTAATAAAAAATTGCAAAATTTGAAAAACCTCTATGCCAGGCTTAATTTATAAAATTAATAGTAACATATTTATATTAAAATTTAGGTTGGAAAAAAAACCCTTTCACAAAATATATAGGGTGTTCATGAAAGCTGCAAAAAAAAATCAGAGCATTATTCCTTGGATTATTTAAAGATTTTTTTATCCTTGAATGATTTTCGTAAAAACCTTTGTTTAGAAGAAACGGGGTAACAAAAGTTAAGTGTACAGCTGGATCTCCAGACTTTAATCCCTTTGATTTTTATTTATCGCGCCATTTGAAAACACTAGTGTACACTACTTCAGTGAAACGTGAAGAAGTTTAGAAACCCTGGTAATGTCGAGAAAGCTTCACAGTCAATGAGGAAAAGACAATAAGATATATAAGATTTTATCTAGACAAAAAACGTAAAACTAACTCCACCCACATTTGCTTTTGAATTTCATTGGCTTCTTTTATTTACTTCTAGATGAAAATTGAATTTTATTCAGTCAAGTGGTCGGATTCACGCTTAAAAAAACCTAAAGGTGTCCCCGCCCACCCACCCTATTTTTTTTTTTATTATTCATCTTACTGGACGAAAAGTGGATTTTATGTTAACAAATAGTGGAATCTAGATTTAAAAAAAGGTAATATTATCCCCGCCGACCTCCGGTCTGAATTTCAATGGCTTTTTACTGAGATGATTTTTTTTAACACGTAGTAGAATCTAGGACTAAAAAAAAACTCATTGTCCCCGCCCACCCACCCGATTTCTTTTTGATAATTCATCTTCTAAAAGTGGATTTTATATCAATAATAAAAAAAAACTCAAAATGGCCCCGCCCACCCACCCGTTTTCTTTTTGATCATTCATCTTATTGGACGAAAAGTGGATTTTATGTAATTAGCAAACAGTAAACTTAAAAAAAAAAAGTAAAATTAACCCCACCCACCCACCCCGGTTTCTGAATTTCGATGTATATTTTATTTACTGTGAGATGAAAGTTGGATAGTTTATTTTAACAAGTATTAGATTCTAGGACTAAAAAAAAAATTAAAGTGGCCCCGCCCACCCACCCGATCTCTTTTTCATCATTCATCTTATTGGACGAAAAGTGGATTTTATGTTATTAGCAAACAGTAGACTTAAAAAAAAACGTAAAATTAACCCCACCCATCCCGGGTTCTGAATTTCAATGTATATTTTATTTACTGTGAGCTGAAAATTGGATATTTTATTTTAACAAACATTAGATTCTAGGACTAAAAAAAATTGGAGTGGCCCCGCCTACCCACCCGATTTCTTTTTCATCATTCATCTTACTGGACGAAAAGTGGATTTTATATCAATAGAATCTACGATCAAAAAAAATAAAAATGACCCCGCCCACCCACCCGTTTTCTTTTTGATCATTCATCTTATTTATTGGACGAAAAGTGGATTTTATGTTATTAGCAAACAGTAGACTTAAAAAAAAAAGTAAAATTAAACCCACCCATCGCGAGTTCTGAATTTCAATGTATGTTTTATTTACTGTGAGATGAAAATTGGATATTTTATTTTAACAAATATTAGATTCTAGGACTAAAAAAAATTACAGTGGCCCCGCCCACCCACCCGATTTTTTTTCATCATTCCTTTTATTGGACGAAAAGTGGATTTTATATCAATAAGAATCTACGATTAAAAAAAATCAAAATTGCCCCACCCACCCACCCGTTTTCTTTTTGATCATTCATCTTATTGGACGAAAAGTGGATTTTATGTTGTTAGCAAACAGTAGACTTTAAAAAAAAGTAAAATTAACCCCACCCATCCCGGTTTCTGAATTTCAATGTATATTTTATTTACTATGAGATGAAAATTGGATATTTTATTTTAACAAGTACATATTAGATTCTAGGATTAAAAAAAAAATTAAATTGCCCCCGCCCACCCACCCGATCTCTTTTTCATCATTCATTTTATTGGAAGAAAAGTGGATTTTATATCAATAAGAATCTGCGATTAAAAAAAAAAAACTCAAAGTGGAAGTCCATCAAAATGTGTAAAAAATATATAGGGTGTTTCATTAAAAAAAGTTGTGTATTACCCCTTTAAAAATACAACACAGTTAAAATTAATCTTAAAGCATAGACTTCAAAAGTCGTTCTACTTTGAGTTGCAGTTTTTAGGTTGCTACACAGGGTGTTCACTACACACGTAGCAAAAATTGAGAGGTTTATTCCTTGGTTACTTTAAGATTTTTTATCCTTCAATGCTCTACGAAAAGATTTTTTTGTCACAAATTTAGGGGGATAAAAGTTTTTCGGAAATAAATAATACTGTTTTTTTTTTCATATTCCATCAAAACATTCTTGATCTACAAAAACTGCTGAAAATGACCACCACCAGCTAGGATATACAGGGTGAATCACTAAGCGCGCGGTTCTCGATATCTTATTGATTATTAGAAATAGAAGAAAAGTTAAAAGAGTACAAATTCTGCAAAATATGAACAAAAGAAATATCAACATGTGTTTATTAAATAAATAACAAAAAATAAGTTTTTTTTACTAAATTACCTGGATAAAAATTGATTTATTTTTAAAAATCTACATTAATCAAACATTTTTGTGGCTGAAATACTTGTTTTTAGTCAAATCAATTTTTTTTTATTACTTTGACTTTTTTTCTATAAGTCTCTATAGGGATACTAAACAAAAATGAGGATGACTTTTATTTTTTGGAACCCGTTTTTTGACACGCGTTTTTGTCCTTTATACAAGTAGTAGTTTTGACACAATTTTGACGTATGAGTTGAATTGGACATCCACTATATTATATGTCAAACTTAATTGTCTCTAACGTTTTGATCGCCTTTGTACCTGAAGCAGCTTTAGACAAAAAAGAAAAAAACCAAGGCCTGCGTCGACTAGACTCCATGCCTCATTAATCAAAAAAACATGGAATCATTCTTCTCAGATTTAGTCCAAGTTGTTGGACAGTTCAACGTAAATCTGTGTTATGAATCAGCTTATTGGAGTTTTTGTACCCCGGCAACGTGTTAATCGATAAATCTGGACGCTGGTTCTCAACAGACCTCCAAAAAGTGCAACCACTCGGAAATAAATATTCTCGGACCATGACAACTCCACAAATCTAAATTTACTTAAATCGAAGAATAGAAGAAACATAGAATTGGTTCTTTCATCATCTCAATTGAGCACTTGGTGGAGGTCCAAAGGTAGAAACCAAGCGAATCCAACTCCCCCGCCGCCCCCTCCCTGCACAAACCCACACACCTCCACCCATCCTTCTTCCCCGACTAGGACAAATGGTAACAGTCAAGTTTAACGAGCGCCACGAACGAGCTTATTTGTTTCTTGCCCCGGCAATTTGTTAATCAATATTTCCAAAGTTATTATGTCACAAACCCATCCCATCCAGGCCGCTCCAATTCGGCCCCTCCGCCCCGCCTCGAAGGGTGCGTAGGACCCATATTGATTTAAAACAATGGGCTCTGGCGGGCCCAGGACAGGTTTATCCGATTGAGTAAGTTGCGTACCGCAGACTAGTTAGTGGTCTGCGCGAGGACCATTCACTGATCAGAATCTCGCATCATTTGTCAATGTCTAGAAGGTGGCGATAGCGAGTACGGGCATTCCTCATTCAGTATATCAATGGTATAGCCGAGCGTGGGCACACTACACTCACTCACCTCAGCGATGGGTCGACGAGGTCCAGCTGGGAGCGGCTCACACCGGCGACACGAACCCTCCGTTCATGCTTTGGGAGCTGGAACAAAAAAACGACTCGAATTAGAATAAGGAGATAAGGCGAGATGTGCCATAATTATGGGAACGGCCGCTATCTGCTTATCTCAAACGGAGGTGTAACTGGCGGGATGGAGGGGCCAAATTAATTGCGGTGGACCGGAGTGGACAGGGAATGGAGAAGGTCAGATGGGAAAATTGGTGCCAAGAAGAAACCTAGTGGGACAAACCGTTAAAATAGTTTGGAATTTTAGATCATGGTACTATCTGGATTGGCAGTGTCAATTTTTGTGTGAAATAATGTAAGGTTATGTTTCAAATCATTTGCATTGACAGTTTCGTTCCATTTTTAAACTTCAAATTGACAAATTCGTGACAAGATCTCAACCTTTGTAGTGTCAAATCTTAGAATAATTAAGCTATATAATATGATTTTGGCAAATAACATACTCTCTAAGAAAAGAGAGGGTGGGTGGGCGGGACTAGCACCTGCTAAGATAAGACTGATTTTGGCAGATGAGATACCTTCCAAGAAAAGAAAGGGTGGGTGGGCGGGGCAAGTACCTGCTAAGATAAGACTGATTTTGGCAAATGAGATCCCTCAAAGGCAATCGAGGGCGAGTGGGCGGGGTTAGTTAATTTTTGAGATTACAATGAGACGTTGCCACGTTTTTTTCAAATTTTCTTATATTTTGTTACCAATGCAAGGGCTCTTAAAAAATTGCAACAACGTTAATTTTAAAATCTGGAGTGCAATATTTTATGAGGAGATTTCAGTTTTCAGGACACCCTGTATTTTATTACTGCATCTTACCTACTCAAGTTTCCATTATTTCTTCCAAAAAAGACGTTAAACTTCGCAATAACTATCAATTCAAAAATTGGAATATCAATATTTGAAAAAAATTGACAAAATTTTTTTTAAAAACATCTTGTATATTGAAAGTCTGTTTTATTAATAGCACAACAAAGCACACTTTTATTGATCTAAGGTGAAAGTGTGAACAATTATCCACTGGTTGAATTTTTGCTAAAACTTGAGATTTATCGACAAGAATATTTTTCACATTTCAACAATTATACAGGGTGAACCTCGATATTTGTTTTGTTTTTGAGCCATAATATACCGGGTGTCTGGAAAATGGAGGATTAACTCTTCAGTACGTTATGCACGGGCGTCTCTGGAGTTCCAAAAAATAATAAAATTCTTTGATTAGAGTAGATTACGCAAAAAAAAAAACAAAACATAATTTCATAAAAGTAAAATTGGCAACACTGCACGCACCTAATGCGTAAATAGCTCCGACTTACTTAAAAGTTAGTCATCAGTACGTGCTAAGATAAAACTGATTTTGCAGATGATATACCTTCCAAGAAAAGAGAGGGTGGGTGGGCGGGGCTAGTACCTGCTAAGATAAGACTGAATTTGGCAAATGAGATACCTTCTAAAAAAAGAACGGGTGGGTGGGTGGGGCTAGTATCTGCCAAGATCTGACTGATTTTGGCAAATGAGATCTTCTAGGAAAATAGAGGGCGGGTGGGCGGGGTTAGTTCATTTTTGAAATTTCAATGAGACGTTGCCACGTTTTTTTTCCAATTTTCTTACATTTTGTTAGCAATGAAAAATGCAATTTTAACGTTAATTTTAAAATCTAGAGTGCAATATTTCATTAGGAGATTTCAGTTTTCAGAACACCCTGTATTTTATTACTGCATCTTACCTACTCTAGTTTCTATTATTTCTTCCAATAAAGAAGCAAAACTTCGCAACAGCTATTGATTCAAAAATTGGAATATCAATATTTGAAAAAAATTGACGATACAATTTTTCATAAACACTCTGTATATTGAAAGTCTGTTTTATTTATCGCACTTGTATTTCTCTCTCCATAAAATATTGTAACACAGATTCTAAAAATAACCCTATTGCGATTTTTTTCAGAACCCTTTGATTGTCAAATTTCGAAAAAAAAAAAAAAAAATTGAAATAACGTGGCAACTTCCGAGTGGGAATTTAAAAAATAAACTGTGGATATAAAACCTAAGAAAAGGCTAGAGAATTCCATTTATAAAAAATAAGTTGTGTTAAGCCTTGAAAATAATACACTGTACAGTTAAAAATAATTTTGGTGTATGGTCCTCAAAGAACCGTACAATGGTCTTTAACTTTTTTTTTTTCTATTTTTGGTAATTAAGTAGACATCCGTGGAGCGCACCCTTAGTGACTCATCCTGTATATTTATAAAATAATAAAGGATTTAGCTGCAGGTTATTGAGTTACTGAGAAGGGAAATGAAAGCAAAGTAAATAATAACTGAAATTAATATAATTTAAAATCATCATATTTTAATTTTTCGATGGAGACTTTTTTATATTCATACATTTTTGTTTGATTTTTTTCTTAAATTTCGTAAAAACTTGCTGTCAAATTCTTGTTGCTTTCCTTTTGAAAAAAAAAAAAAGGTTATGTTCAAAATGTATAGGTACATTATCAGGTACAAATTAACGATTATTTTTCCTTAAGATATACAGGGTGATAAAGAAATTACGGATACCCTCGTGGTACGTTGTTTAGAAGACTCTGAAGAATTAAAAAAAAAATGGTTAAAAAAAATCCCTGCATCAAACTTTTGAAAATATGTATTAAACTTTAAAGTTGATGAATTAACTTCGTAATTCTGAATTGTTTTCATGAAGTGCATTATAGTCATTAATAACGTAATAATAATTTGCTAGAAAACAATCCACATCATTTTTGACAATTTTTAGCCAGTTTTAAGTTAAAATAGTTCTTCAATTTTGAAGTTTCATATTTTCTAAAATCTGGTTCAGGGATTTTTTAAATATTTTTTTTGTGAGTTCTTCAGAGCCTTTTAATTTTAACAAGATACTATCGAGCCTATCCGTGATTTTTTGATTATTCTGCATGTACTTATTTATTTTTAAAAAAATATATATATATATAATAATAATTTCACTGGATCCAGATTAGTTGGAGGGATTTATTTTGTAGCATCTTCAATAAATACCGGTGACCAACTTTTGAAAGTAGAACATCAATAGAATTGTAGAATTCTATTATATTCACGCTTTTAAATTCTCAACAAAATAAAAATTATTACATTAATTGCAAAAATTCCAATCATCTGGTTTAATTAATGGTAAATCGTATAAAATCCACATTTTTTTTTTTTTTCACTTTTTGTCAGCTCGACATTTAAAAGTTTATTTTAAAATTTTCTCAAGATAAATACGTGAAATTTCCAAAATTTCAAGATATACACAAAAATATTTTACGTTCGAGAAGCACGCTTTTTTTTATTGTGCAACTGATTTTGTACATTTTCATTTACTTCAATCGCTTTGTTTTTTCTGATACAAATTGCAAGAAAAAATTGACGATAATAAAAATTCACCAAAATTTTCGTCTTAAATCACACAAAAAAGACAAGAATTATAAAAACAAAAATAACAATGACCTAGAAACGTGTCTAGAAAGCTCTATTTTGTCAATCTAATAAACAAAAAGAAACCATTGGCAGAAATTAATAGTTACTGTAACCGATCACCCTGTATATGATATCACCCCGACCACTCGAACAAAATCCGGGCGTTAATCTGGCCACTCGACGACATTCGTGATAGCTAAAGGTGTCACTCAATTAATATTAAAAAGCTCGCGAGCACCTCCAAAGGGTTATATCTTCAATCTCCATCACCTCGTCCCTCATCAATCATCATTCGTGTTTCGTTTAAATTTTTCCCTGAGCCTAGCACGGAAGTTGCCACAAGAGCAACTAATTGTAGCGCAAACAAATAATTATTTAATTAATTAAGCCATGAATCGCTCATTGTCTGCATACCTGCACAGATTTGGAATAATAGTCAGACACGAGTTAATTAGTTGCTGGTCTTCCTACACAGATAGCTTTCAAAGATTGCCGATAAAAAATGAAGATTAATGCACTGCCTTGTAGTAATCGACGTGTACGTTATATTAAACTGAAAAAACCTTACAGTTATTTCGCCATAATCGAGGCGATTGATAATCCGAGATAATCTCGTGGTAAACAAGTCGTGTTCCCAAGTAAGTGGAAAATTCACACGCATAGTGTTGATATCTGGAATTCCTCAGATATGTAAGTGTTTTTTCGAGATGACATGATGAATTCATCCTTCGGCATAATAGATGCTGTTATGCCTATTACGGATTCAGAGAGCCCCGCTTGGACTTTCTACCAGTTTTTGCGCCAGGTTTGAAATTATTATTAATCAAAAATTTTGACTGAGATGGAGTCGAACAGTGCGTGATTTACCACCCTTCAACCATTGTCTTACCTTTTGTAGAAGGGTTTGAAGGCAGCGCTGTCCGTCGTGGGGGCCGTCATCTGCGCCGCCTGCGGAGGCGGCGGCCGGTGCGGCGACTGCAGCCGCCCGAAGCCCCCCAGGAAGCCCGACTGCGAGTAGCCCGTGTTCGCCGCCGCCGTGCCTATGCAGGGTCCCTGTCCAGGGAGCAGGTTCCCCGCCACACTCGGCAGCTTCATGCTCGGCGGCGTCTGGGGCGGCGTGTCCGTCTGCACGTCGGGAAACCCCTGCTGACAGTGACTAGGCAGGAACCCGCTCCCTCCGTACCTCGAGCTGGGCAGCGCGAAGCCGTTGCTCCCGAGCCACTGCTGCTGAGCAGGGGGCGGCGGCGGCGGCGTCTTGCACGCGGCGGTGTCCGCCAGAGACCAGATCTTGGGCTTGGACGGCGGGAGCGGCACGCCGCAGTCGGACGACTTGAGTTCCGGTTTCATGCCGAAGGTGTTGCCCAGGATGTGGTGCATGTTGTTCCCCAGGAGGTCGTCCTTGCGGTCGTCGTCGTTCATGTCGTCGTCGTCGAGGTCCTTGCCGTTGCGCTCGGACTTTATCCGGCCGTGCATGTCTGGAAGAAGGGGGTGGTGAACACTGTGGATTTCGCAACAATGGGAAAAGTCTGGTTTATAGTAACAAGTTCGTGTTATTTGTTGGTTAAGAGATCGAGGTTACATTGGTTGAATATTTTCTATAACGAGTGTCTGCCGAGTAAGGACATCTTTAATGGTTTCTAAAGAAAACACGAATAATTTCCTTAAAGAGTAGCGTTTTCTTGTCAGTGCAACATGATCCGACTATTCCAATATCCATATACACATATAATTTTCAAATATCAATACTTTGGTTTTTTGAAACAGAAGATTCTGTATTGTCGAAAATCATTTCTAGTAAGTAATAACTAATAAAATATCGGGGAGAGCTCGTTTAGTGACTCACACTGTATATCTTATCTGAATACTTACTTCATGCTTTTTTAAATCTTTCTCGATTGCTTACAATTTGAGAACATAGTTTTATTTATTTATTAATTTATCGTACGTGACTTATATCTGACATATTTTTAATTTTGATTTTCAAAATTATAGAGAAATCTGTCACTGAACTTACAACAAATTGTAAAATTCTGAGTAGAAAAAAATGTTCAGAAACTTTAAATTTAAAATATACACAAAAGGTCAGTCACTAAGCTCACGGTACTTGATATTTCATTAATTATTAGAGATGACTCACCCTGTATATATTTTTCAAATATCAATATTTTAGTTTGTTCAAACAGGACACCCTGCATTTCTTACTGTAACTTATTCCTTTAACAATGAACTACGGTTATAAATTAGCATTTGGACAAATATATAGGGTATTCCATAAAAAAATTGTGTGTTACATATTTTGAATGAATATAACACATAATTTGTACAATTTTCGCAGGAAAAAAGTGCTTAGAAACTTTAAATTTTAAAATACACACACTGCTGAAATATTCCATATTTCCGGGAATACGAATTCAGCGAGAAAGTAAAGCACAAGAGAAATATATATTTTACGTGAAATACATCCAAATTGAAATTAAAGAGTGGAACGCTGAGGCAATTAAGGGTAGTGGGCTTAATGGGGGTTCGATGGGGGGTTGAGACATTAACTGTTGATCCGATTAAATGGAAGAGGGTGGAAAGGGAAGGGTAGAAATGAGAGGGTAGTTAACAGACGGTGGAGGAGATATAAAGAGTTACTTTACGCGGGAAAGTCTAAGTCAAATTAAATTGTGGTCGGTTTATGATGGGCGATTAAGGGGGTTGTTTACAGCCATCGTATCAGCGTTTAGTGGAGGCGGCGAGCGAAAATTTGCCAGACTGACAGGGGAGCCGTTAAAAAAAATTCACAATTTTTAATCCCGGGGAAGTACTAAGGTCGAGTGCCCACGCATTTGTTTCAAATTTTCGTCGGCCACTACTCCAACAATGTCGAAACCCAGTCATAAAATTACTATCGCTGAAAACCCGACCCCATTGGCCCGATAAAAATGATAATTAAATTATTGATAAACCGTGTTTCGTTGCGGCAAAAAATACTTTACACCGTGCAATTAAATCAAACACGTACTGGAAATTTAATCAAAATAAACCCGAATTTATTCCGTGCTCGGGTCGCAGCCCGCTAATCCAATTGATCAAACAGCGAATTAAAATAAAAACACGGCCGAGTCTGCGGGCTGACACCTGGTAATCATGTTCAAACGGCAATAAAACCTAGCGCTGTATTACTGGTTGCATACGCGCTTGATTGCGAGCTCACCTGTCTCGTCCCGCTTGTCCTCCTCATCCTTGTCTTTGTCGTCGCTGTCGGAAACTAGGGCGTCGTCGTCGTCGTCCGTCTTGTTCTTCGGTTCCCAGGTCATTTTGTTCTCCTTTTTTAGCCTCCTTCGCGCGTTTGCAAACCACGTCGAGACTTGTGTCAGAGTCATTTTCGTGATAATTGCTAACATGATTTTCTCCCCTTTGGTCGGATAAGGATTTTTCTTGTGTTCGTTGAGCCATGCTTTGAGAGTCGCCGTCGACTCCCTCGTTGCGTTCTTCCGTCGTGCGGCTAGGTCGTATCCGGCACCGTAACTGCAACAAAACGACGTTAAAATAAATGTTGGAGTAATTAACGGGGGTGGTTTTTTCAGTTTGGCGAAGTAATGAAATTTTTAATGGTGAAAATTATGTTATTGAAAAATGTAATAATTTTTACTTCCCGAAGCGTAAGTCCCCGTTTCCGTCTGTCTGTCTCTTTGTTTATGTTCCGTCTGTTGTCAAATTTTATATGCAAGGACTGTCCCGAAAAGATTTCTTACACAAACTTACACAATTTCTTTCTCTTCAATTTTCCGATATTTCTCGGCATTTCTCGACGTTTCGATTTCTTGATTTTTCAAGTCTTCAATTTTTCATTTATTCGACTTAAATTTTCGATTTTTCGACTTCCTGATTTCTCGATCTTTCAATTTCCGTATCTTCAAATTTTCTTCGATTTTCCAGTTTTAGAATTTTTCAATATTTCGATTCTCCAATTTTGGTTTTTAGTATTACTTTTTTGATTCTTCAATGTTTCTTCGATTTTTCAGTTTTCCGATATTTTATTTTCAGGAGTCTTTAGTTTTTTGATTTTTCAATTTTTCGATTTTCCAATTTCTCGATTTTTTTCAAGTTTTAATTTCTTGATTGGAATTTTTTCAATATTTCAATTTTTGATGTTTCGATTTCTCGACTTTTTAAATTTTAGGTTCTTCAATTTCTCAATTTTTCAGTTCTTCGATTTTTCAATTTTTAGACTTTTTAAATTTTAGATTTTCCACTTTCTTGTTTTTTTTTTCAGTTTTTAATTTCGTGGTTTTTCGATTATTCCATTTTTTGATACTTCAGATTTGGATTTTTTCAATTTCTCAATTTTGGATGTTCTGATTTCTCGATTTTTTAAATTTTAGATTTTTCGATTTTTTAGTTCTCTGATTTTTCAATTTTTTAAAATCTCGGTTTTAGAATTTACGGTTTTTTCGTTTTTCGATTTTTCAATGTTTCAATTTTTCGATTTTTCAAGTTTTTGATTCTTAATTTCTCAACACTTGTAGTTTGGAAATTTTAAATTTTTTTTGTAGATTTAATTTATTTTTAATTGTTCGATTTCGGTTTTTGGATTTTTCGATTTTTCAGCCTTTCGATTTTCCAATTTTTCGAATTTTCAGTTTTTCGATTCTTCACTTTTACGTTTTTCAGTTTTTTAAATTTTGGATTCTGTAATTTCTCGCTCCCATTTTTTTGATTTTTCAGTTATTCGATTTTTCAACATTTCGATTGTACGATTTTTTGATGCTTTGATTTTTGACCTTTCGATTTTCCGACTTGTCGGTTCTAGATTTTACGGTTTTTCAATGTTTCAATTTTTAGAATTTTTGATTTTTCAATTTTTTATTTTCTCGGTTTTTCAATTTCTCTTTTTTTAAATTTTTTGATTTTAATTGTCCGATTTTATGGTATTTCGATTTCTCGATGTTTTAATTTTTCGATTTTTCAGGTTTTCGATTCTTAATTTTTCAACATTTTTAATTTGTAAATTTTACAATTTTTCAAATTGTAGATTTAATTTTTTTTTTAATTTTTCGATTTTTCGGCCTTTTCGATTCTCCAATTTTTCGATTCATCACTTTTTCGATTTTTTAAAGTTTGGGTTTTACGATTTCCCCTTTCTCATTTTTTTTTTATTTTTCAATCATTGGATTTTTCAAAATTCTTCGATTTTATACTATTTCGAGTTCTCGAAGTTTCAATTTCTCGATTTTTCAATTTTTAACGTTGTGGATTTAATTTTTTTTCTTATTTTCCATTTTCCGATTTTTCGGTTTTAGATTTTACGGTTTTAAAATTTTTCGATTTTTAATTTTTGAATTTTCAGTTTTTTAATTCATTGGTTTTCCAATTTCCCGATATTTCGGTTTTTTGATTTCAATTTTTCTATTTTGGGCCAATTCAACTTTTCGGTTTTTCGAGTTCTCTATTCTTCGATGTTTCAACATTTCTATTTTGGAAATTTTTCGATTTTCAAAATATTAGATTCTAAATTTTTTCTTAATTTTTTTATTTTGGGTTTTACTATTTTTTGAGTTTTCAGCCTTTCGATTTTTCAATTTTTCAATTTCTCGATTTTTCATTCAGTTTTTCAACTCGATGTTTTAAATTTTAAAATTTGCTATTTCTCGGTTTTTAATTTTTTTGATGCTTCGATTTCTCGATTTTTCGATTTTCCGTCTCCCCAGTTTTAGATTTTATGGTTTCTAAATTTTTCGATGTTTAATATTTTTCATTTTTCAATTTTTGAATTTTTCGTTTTCAATTTTTGATTATTCGATTGTTTGATTACCCGTTTTTTAAATTTTTTGCTTTTAATTTTTGGATTTTATGGTATTTCGATTTCTCGATGTTTCAATTTTTCGATTTTTCAAGTTTTCGATTCTTAATTTTTCAACATTTTTAACTTGGAAATTTTACAGTTTTTCAAATCGTAGATTTAATTTATTTTTAAATTATCGATTTTTCGGCCTTTTCGATTTTTTAAATTTTGGGTTTTACGATTTCCCGCTTTCTCATTATTTTTTATTTTTCAATCATTTAATTTTTCAACATTTCGATAATACGATTTTTTGACTTCTCGGTTTTAGATTTTACGGTTTTTCCATTCTTCGATTTTTACAACTTTTGAATTTTCAATGCTTTAATTTCAAAATTTTTCATAATTACCCGATTTTTCAATTTTTTGATTTTAATTTTTTTCCCCAATTTTTCGATTTTCCGATTTTAGATTTTACGGTTTTTAAATTTTTCGATTTTTAATTTTTGATTTTTCAATTTTTTAATTTCTTGATTTTCCAATTTCCCGATATTACAGTTTTTTAAATTTCAATTTTTCAATTTTATGCCAATTCAATTTCTCGGTTTTTGGAGTTCTCGATTCTTCGATGTTTCATTTCAACATTTCTATTTTGGAAATTTTTCGATTTTCAAAATTTTAGATTCTAAATTTTTTTCTTAATTTTTTATTTTGGGTTTTACTATTTTTCGACTTTTCAGCTTTTCGATTTTCCAATTTTTCGATTTTTCAGTTTTTCGACTCGCTTTTCAAATTTAGAATTTTGCAATTTCTCGGTTTTTCATTTTTTTGATTTTTGTTATTCGATTTTTTAACATTTCCATTAAACAATTTTTTGATGCTTCGATTTTTCAATTTTCCGACTCCTCAGTTTTAGATTTTATGGTTTCTAAATTTTTCGATTTTTAATATTTTTGAATTTTTCGTTTTCAATTTTTGATTGATTCGATTGTTTGATTTCCCGGTTTTTTAATTTTTTGTTTTATCGGTTATTTCAAATTTAAATTTTTTCGATGTCTAATTTTTCGATGTTTCGATTTTCCAGCTTTCGATTTCAGTCTTGTGATTTTTCAATTTGCTTTTTTTTTTAAATTTTTCGACTTTTGAATTTTTCGATTACACGATTTTTTGATTTCTCAACATCATGTAAAATTTCTCGAATTCTCCTTTTTTGTAAGTTTTGAATTTCTATATATTTTTCAAGATTTTAATTTTTCGGGTAATCAGTTTTTCGATTTTTAAAGGCTATCAAAAAATAATCGCAAAATTAAATTTGATATTGGGTTTGAAAGTAATTTTTTTTCAAAATCATACAAAAAATGCCACATTATTGACGATTTTGGAAAAATGTTTGTATGTATTTGAAAAAAAATTGATAAAAAATCTACAAAAAAATGTGAGAAGTAGATCTCCACGTGCTAATTCCGAAAAATATACAAAATTTATTGTTCCAATTATCGATTCTGAAAAAATGTAGAAATTTTCGAAGAAATTAATAACTCATAGGGGTTAGACTAAAAAAATGTTTTTGGCTAATTTTCGAGGGCCGTCGAAAAATGATCAAATTTCACAAAATAAAATTTCTAAATAATAAAAATTCTCAATTTTAAATATTCGACGTGTTGACATGAAAAATAAAAATAAATAAATTTTCGAAATATTCAGAACTTTGAAATCAGTAGTTTCAGAGTAATAAAAGTGTCTGTAGACCACAGAAAACAGAGAGACGAAACGGGAGAACCACTTTTTCATATTCCAAGATTTACGAAACGTCAAATAATTAGAAATTACAATAACTTATGTTCGTGAAGTAAAGAGAAATTTAAAACAAAAACACAATTATTATGGTTATAAGTTCCGAATTATTATTTTGTGTCTGAAAAACCTCTTGTGACACATTATCGTATTTAAATTACCATTCTGAAATAAATACCCAAAAACATCACGCACAGTTGGCAAAACAAGCGACTTCCTGAGCCGTTCCTTCCCTTATTGAATTACCTAAAAATCGCTCTATTATCATCCCCTCTCCCAGCTGTCAAACTGATGTAGTGCATCGCACCCTCTCCCTTTTCCTTACGTCGGGATTTGATTACGCCTAGAGTGGTTTCACCCCTATTAAGTCTGCTACTTTTTCCCGCTAGACAAGGGAAAGGCGGCCACCGATCTCGATAAAACGGAAAAAATAAAGTTTTCCCGATTCTAAGACATTATTGATACACATCCGCTGAGCGAGCGATCGCTTACTTCTTGTCCGCCCTGTTGCGGCCCTGCGATTCACTCGCATCGGCAGGGACGGAACGACTTCGCCAGGGCCGTAGCCGCAAATTCAAAAACGGTAAAAGTGTCCGAAAGTAACAGTTAACCAAGAAGTTGTAGAACAAACATCAAAAGTAACAAACCGTTGAAAATTACGTCAGTGCTACTTGGTGCAAAAAACCAAAACCCGATTTGGGAGTCGCGGTCGCACCTGGGGGCGATTCCGGCCCTGGTCTTCCGGCTCAATCCATTTACCGCCGATGCGGATATTTTCCAATAACATCGCTCAACTTCCACCAGGGCCATATGTTATGCGATTTTGTCAAAAGCCGCTTGTCACAAAGAGGACTGGTGTTTTGAGATCGATAACCGCAATGTAATCGAGAGGAAGAGGTGTCGGAAGGAAGGTGGACTGCTCGGTCCACTTTTCCTCGTTAGAAACGTGGAG